CCCCAAAACCCCAAAACCCCAAAACCCCAAAACCCCAAAACCCCAAAACCCCGTTCTTAAAAATTAAGATTGAGAAATATGAAGCTGTTCTAGAAATTAGTTTGTGATCCTCCTCCCTGCTCATTAAGGTGAATTTTTACTCCTTCTTAGTGAGGCGTTTGATGACTGTGCGTGGTCTCTCTTAATATGAGCCTAAAAATTAGTTCTAAGATTTTACGTTCAAGTTGTACTTGCAAGAATACTTTCGTGAACAATGAGGGCAGCCATGCTTCTTCCTTTGCTCCATTGGAGTGTGGTCGTGGACTGACATGTGTCGCTTATAGTTGGCTTTCTGGATGAAGGTCCTGTCGCAGTACTTTCATTCGTAAGCAGCTTCTTTTGTATGGACACGGAAGTGGTATACGAGGTTCCATGTCTTTTTGAAGATCTTACTGCAACCTTCGTATTTACAGAGGTAGAGTTTCCTGTTTTTCTCATAGCGATTAGGATTATCTACTATCTCGTATGGATGACCTTCAAGCACAGAGTAGTTGATAGATTTGAGTTGCTTGGGCTTCATCTTGGTTTCAGTAGATCCTTGAGTTTCTTCATTGAAATTCTGAAAAGCAGCATTTTTGATATTGTTTGATAGCTTTACCTTATTCGAAGATGAAAATGAAGGGAAGTCTGTGCTTCATAAGCAGTAATCACGAGTGATGATTTTGATCGTCAACTTTTGATACAAGGGAAGCTAAATAGAACTGTCAGGATTGTTCGAGAACTTTCCATGTTAGAATATTAAAAGCATTCTATACAAAAGATACGATATTTCATGATAGATAGTGAATCTTAAAAAATCAAGAGTTGTAACGGATGCCAAGTTGTTAAGCTTTGCAATTTTTAAGAAATTGATCTTACTCCATCAAATTTGAATCTAGAATTCAATGATTTCATTTCAGAAAAGTTTCTCGAAAATTCCATTGATTAAACTTTAATTTTGTTCCAATATTAGTATTCTCATCTGGGGTTTTGGGGTTTTGGGGTTTTGGGGTTTTGGGGTTTTGGGGTTTTGGGGTTTTGGGG